GGGTCTCTTCCGGGTCCCTCTCGCGGCGTTCCCCGGTCTGGCGGCGGTGTTCCCCCGGTCTGGTGGGCGGCGGGATGCGTTCCCCCGGCTGGCGGCAGCGTTCCGGGTCTGGCGGCGGTGTTCCCCCGGTCTGGCGGGCGGCGGCATTCGTTCCCCCGGCGTTCCCCGGTCTGGCGGCGGTGTTCCCCCCAGGTTTTCATATTTGTTTGAGTATAGTTTTTCATAATATTCTAACACTAACTTTTTAATTTTACTTGGGTCTGTTGTGATGTTGCCTGATTCATCTCTTATTCGGATTATTTGTGCTTCTCCTTCTTTTCTTTTGTGAGTTTTGCTAGTGGTTTGTCGATGTTATTGACCTTTTCAAAGAACCGACTGCTAGTTTTGTTGATAGTTTCAATTGTTTTTCTATTTTCTATTTCATTTATCTCTGCTCTAATTTTTATAATTTCAGTTTTTTTAGAAGCTGATGGGTTTTCTTGCTGTTCTTTTTCAATTTGTTGGAGATGTTGGGTTAGAGAGTCAATGGTAAATTTTTCCTGCCTTTTGATATGTTTGCTAATTGCTATAGATTGACCTCTGATTATGGGTTTGGCTGTTTCCCAGAGGTTTTGGTAAGTAGTGTCTTCATTGTCATTTGTTTCAAGGAACTTTTTTATTTCGTTTTGTATTTCTTCTTATACCCAGTCGTGTTCAAGCAAGTTGTTGTTCAGCTTCCAAATGCGTGATCTTTTCTCCTTTATTCTCTTGTTATTACTTTCTAATTTTGTGGCGTTGTGATCTGAGAAGATACTTTGTATAATTTCTATGTTTTTGCATTTGTTGATGCTTGCATTATGACCTAGAATGTGGTTTATTCTGGAGAATGTTCCATGCACATTGGAAAAGAAGGTGTATTGTCCTTTTTGGGGGTGCTTTAGCCTATAAATATCTATAAGATCGAGTTGGTTAATTGTGTGGTTTAATTCTTGAGTATCTTTGTTGAGATTCTTTTTGGTAGTTCTATCTTTTCTTGAAAGGGGTGTATTGAAGTCTCCAAGTACT